GGTGTGTGCACGTGCGTCTCTGTGCTTGTGTATATGCACACAGGCGGGTGTGTGTGCACGTGCGTCTCTGTGCGTGTGTATATGCACACAGGCGGGTGTGTGTGCACATGCGTCTCTGCATGTGTGTATACCCACAGGCGGGTGTGTGTGCACATGCGTCTCTGCATGTATATATGCACACAGGTGAATGTGTGTGCATGCTCGTGTTTTTCTCCGCCCCTCAGGATAAAGGAATGAACCCACAGTCCATGCCCACTGCCTACAGCAGCTGACAGGAAGGTTTGTCCAACTGCCACCACCCAGCCACATTTCTCCTGCTTGCTGTTGATGACACCCTGCCTTCATCCATGCTTTGTTCTGCAGACCCCAGAGAAATCCTTCACAGAGAGCAGCATGGAGCTAAGACAGGAAGAGCCTTGTGTTTAGAGGCTACAGCCCTGGGGTCCTGCCCTAACACCCAGCTCCTAGGTGACCTCAGCCAAACCACAGCCCCAGGTTCTTCACCATGTAGTGAGGAGAAAAGTGATCTCCACACAGGCCACTGGAGCAGAACACAGCAGGCAGATGGCTGGGTCCTGAGCAGGAGCCACCAGTGCCGTCCAAGTTAGAAGCAGGAGCGTGCTTTCTCCTGCCCCAGCAGATGCCTGGGCTGGTGCCTGGGGTCAATTAGGAAAAGGGTCCCCCAAGGCCTACCTTGGGCAGCAGGGAGCCTCAGAGCCCCAGCTCCTCACTGTGCCCTCTCCCTAGGCCCCTCATGCTCCGAGGGCAGTGAAAACACCTGCCTGTCTACCTTCCAGTGTGCAGGTTGGCCGTCACCCTTGTCCATGGATGAAGGCAGCACTGCAGCCCAGAAGGGAAGGGAAGGAGCAGTCACCACGCGCAGCACCCACACATACCCAAGTCGTATGCCATGCACACGTCCACGGCTGACATCCTCCTCAGTAACCGCCTGGCATCTTCTTCAGAAAAGTGGTCCTCGTTGCTGAAGAATGACCGTTCTTCCTCACTGAGGAAGATCACACTTTCCAAACTGGAAAAAATAAAGTGTTTTATTTGAAATAACATATTTCCAAAGTAAATGTTTCACAAGAAGACTTATTTCCACTCCCTAATTTGACAGTCCTGAAACACCACCCTCTGCCCAGCAGTCAGGACAAAAAACAGAACAGATCCTGCCCTCGAGGAACTTGCCTGTCCAGGGACAGATCCCTAGGAGCTAATGGATCATGGCATCCTGGGAAGGTGAGCTCCCTGGCAGCCTGCAAAGCCCCATCTCATGTGTCCCTTCCCCAGTGAAGCCTGCTGGGACAGCTGAGGGCAGAACAAACAGCCGCACACTATGAGCTCCCCCTGTTGCTCAGAGCCCCTGTGCAGTGCTTCTGCTCCCTCAGCGCTCCGCACAAACACAGCGCATGTGTGTCCCACAAAGTCACGGAACCAACAGGAGGGGACAGAGGGAGAGGGGGAGAAGGAAAAAAGAGGCAACTTTTCCTTTTAGAACTAAATTACCAGAATAATATGAAACATTGAAATGCACGCTATTGAGAATTTTTTTTTTAAATCTTAGAGCAGTTTGCAGGATATTTTATGAAATAACAGGTCTGTATTCTTTAAAATGTCAGACAAGGGAATATTGAAAAGCTGTTTTAGATTAAATAGACAAGACAGAATCACTGATTGTAACATAGGGTCTGAAATTTTCTCTGGGTAATAAGGGAACTACTGTGAAAACTGGCACAATCTGAGAAAGTTCTGTTGATAACTTTATGGTATCAATGTCTGTTTCCTGATTTTGACAATAAAACTGTGGTTATGCAAGCAATGTCCTGGTTTTAGGAACCACATGCTGTATCATTTAGGGGTAAAGGAACATCATGTTTGCAACTTACCCTCAAAGGGTTTAGGGGAAGAAAAAACGAAGTAGAAGAGAGCAAAGCATAAGGCAGATGTTGTAACATGTTAACATTTGTGCAATCTGGGTGACACCATATGGGAATTTTATACTTTGCTTGTAATTTCTTAGTAAGTCTGCAATTATGTCAAAATAATGTAAAAGAAAAACCACCAGTTCGTTCATTAAATAAACAGATAAAAACCCATCCAGGGTCTGTAATAGGAAAGGTATTCAATAAACATTAATTGAGAGACTAAATGAAGCTGTTAGGATTTCTTCAGCTATAAACAGGACCAGTGGCACCTGGCCCTGTCATCCTTCTGGGTTAATGGAAGGGAATGGACCAGCTCATTCCCATAGCTCTTCTCTGACCCACTGCACGTTAAGCACATGTTCAATTCATATGGTCCCCAGCAGTCTATAGAGAAATTACAGCTTGCCTTGGAGAGGGTAGCAAAAATCTAGACAAAGGGTGTTCCATAGAACACCAGCTCAGCAAGAAGCAAATTAGGGTCTAAAATCTAGACTAAAGGTATTCCATAGAACACTAAAGAGTACTCCATAGAATACCAGCTCAGCAAAAAGCAAATTAGGGTCATGGGAGAAGAGAATTCCAGAGGTCGAATTACTGAGGAGCACATTTCAACAGGAAAAGATGCCTTGCTTGTGCCAGGACTCCCTGGAGAGCATCAATAAGGGGACATGAACAGAGCATGAGGAAGCTGGTGATGGGGCATGGGGGAGGCAACACACCTGGGGAAATGCCGATCCAGCTGCCCTTGTCGGCACAGCCTCTACCCACTTTTGAGGCACAGGTGCAAGGAGGTGCCAAAGCAAACAGACACTTTAAATTATAGGGACAAAATGAAATGATGGCTGGGCAAGGCATGACACCAAACAGCCTCTGAGATTTGGTCCGTCGCATAATCAAGCATGGAACATCTTGCATGGAACATCAAGCATGGACGAGCATCTCCTTTGTGGGAAGTGAGATTCACAGCGGGGGAGACAGGACCAGAATCACAGGACCCAGTAAAGGGCCCTTTCTGTATACCCACTTTCTCTGAGCTCCTTGACTGAGGTCTTGACAAGATCAAGTCCAGGGGAACAGAACTCTGTCAAAGGATGCTTGCTGACCACTTTCCAAAGACTTTCCTGATGCTGGGCAGCAGGGACACAGAGGTACCCAGAGAGCCCTCCCCTTGGAGTTCCTTGGTAGTGGCAGGCAAGTCTTAGATGAGGTGGAGGACAGCTCACACAAGGACAGGTGTGTGGCCAGAAGAGTGTTGCCAGGGATGAACCATACAGGTGGGACTGGTGGCTGGTGAGAGCCCACAGGAACTCCAGAGGGGCAGGATGGAGGGAGCAGCCCAGCCAGGGACACAGTGTCAACCCAGACCTGTTTCAGAAGGGCTGAGCCGGCCTATGCCGCAGACTCGGGGTAAACTGGTGGTGAATGGCAGGCTTTAAAATCGGAGTCACAAGGGCCTGGGTGGTGGGGGACCTCAAAGTCTGGACCAGAAGCTTCACAGGGCTTCATGAAGGAGAGTGGCTGGTGTGCTGGATCATGTCTTTCCAAAACCTGGGAAGGTCGCTTTTTATCGAAATAGGATCTTTGCAGGTGTAATTAGTTAAGATGGGGTCAGACTGGTGCCCTCACTAGAAGAGAAAAATGAGTCACAGACACAGATACACAAAGGAAGACAGCCAGGTGGAGACGGAGCAGCATGGAGTGACGTAGCCACAAGCCAAGGAAGCTCAGAGCTGCCAGGAGCTGAAGGAGGCAAGAGTCCCCTCCCCTAGAACCTGCAGAGGGAATGTGGCCTTGCTGCCACTGTGGTCTCCAGAACTATAAAACAGAACACTTCTGTTGCTACAGCCCCTAGCGCGTGGTGCTTAGTGACCACAGCTACAGGAAACTAGGACACAAGGGCATGTGTGTGTCTCAGAGCATGCCCTCCTGTCAGCACTTTTGGGGAAAGGTGTTGGGGACAAGGTGTTGGCACCACAAACCTGGGGACTAGGGAAGGGACTATGAGTCAACCAGGACCCATCCAGGCGTGTTGCGTGGGAAGTGGGTGGATGGCGTAGGATCCCTGCAAGAGCAGTGGAGATAGTCTCAGGGAAGGGGCAGAGTCCCAGCCACTCACTTGGACACTGGGCCCTGAGCGCTGATGAGATGAGTCTGCACAAACCCAACTTGGCCTGAGGCTATGTGTCGGCCCACACACCAGGGCAGGCCAGGCACCTGGGCACCGAGGATCTCAATGAGGTCGCCACCTTGAAAGGTCATTTCTTCAGGCCCTGAGCCCTGGCTGTCTGCCACTGCTGAGGCCAGGCCCACAGCTGCAGAAAAGAGGCCACATGGTCAGTGCAGGGGAGACAAGGGGAGGGGCCAGGGAATTTGTCTTGTGCCCATGAGGAGGTTTGCAGGGAAGCTTGTTCACTGAACGTGTGAGGCCAGACAGCTACATGATCCTCAGAGGGAGCGTTTGTGTCCCAACACTGAAGATGAGAAACTGAGGCCAGAGATGTTGATTAACTCAGCCTCAGCCTTCCGTCCACAAGGCCTCAGTCCTTTCCTTATGCAGCAATGGTCACAAGTCCTGCTTATTCCCTCCCTCCCCCAGGCTTCATGTCCACCTCCCAGGTACACCCAGGCTATCCATATGCCAGGTACAGCTTAGTGCAGAGTGCGAAGCTGGACCTGGCATCCAAGCCAAAGGACTGATGACAGTGCCAGCTTCTCTCAAAGAAGAGCTGTGGCTGGACAAGCCCAGGTGGCAGGTCCTGCCTTAGCGCAGGTGGCAAATCCAGCCAGAGCCAGCCCGCCCAGGTCCCAGTCTCCAAGGTCCTCCAAGGTGCCTAACACAGTGCCAGAAAGAAAGAAGAGCCCCAGGACGTCCTGTCAGATTGTCTGCAAAGTTACACTCAGCAATCTGGGGACAGCGACTGGGCCACAGGGCTGCACTGCTGGTCTGCTCACATGGCGGAGCTTGCTCACCACCTTGAAGATGGGAGGTGTTTAGGGCAAGCACAGAAACCTCCTAGATGTTGGTGCCGTCCCCTCGTCATCCCCCCACACCTGGGGAAGAGAGGCCTGTGGAAGCACTCACCCATCAGCGGGGTGTTGGGGGTCACTTGTTCACCCACAGAGTCATCGATGGGGTCCCAGGGGACCCTGAGAGCCCACCTGGAGCCGGGAGAGGGAGGTCTTTGCTGCAGGATTTCAGATTTGGGGCAGATACATTCTGGGCAGAGACTGGACAAGTCAGCTATCCCCCAGGACCCTGAATGGACCCCACCTCTCCCCCCAACACACACACACCTGCACACATACACACGGCCTCCAGGGAGCCCCATACCCCTGCCCACCTGCCTAGGTGCCTTATCCTAGGGAACAGTACATCCCTGTTAACTGGAAGCCCTGCACACCCCCCAGACATCTTCCCTGTCGCTTGCCTCAAGGAAGCTTAGTACGGTGTGGGGTGAGGGGGGACCCAAGACTGGGGAAACAAAGGCCTGGATTCAAATCTTGGCTCTACTGTGACCTTGACGAATAACCTGGACAAATTGTTCCTCTTTCTAGGCCTCGGTTCCTTTGGCTAGAATGGAGCTGGACTAGATAATTGGCAGTCCCTCCTGTCCAGATGGCATAACGACATGCCCCGTGCCCCTGTGGGGACAATGCTGGCCATAGTACACAGGCAGGGTTCTTGGGAGAAACTGCTCTCGGGTCTCAGTAAGAGAAGCAGAGCCACAACCTGTTACTTCACAGACATTGCAAGTCAGGAGAAGGAAGCTCCAAGCCAAGTTTAGGCCCACCCTCAGCAATTGAACAGGTACTCATATGTCACCCGTCCTCACATCCACTGGTTCTACCTGCCTTTCTTTGGTTTGATGTGTGCAGGTTTCTGTCTGCCTCCCCACTCTGAAGAGTTCAAAAACTCTTCAGATGAGCCTGAGAAGAGCTCCATGCTGCCCCCTCCCCCACTGTCTAACTCCAGGGCGGCCCTGCCATGTGATGTCATTGGCCTGTCATGCAACCACACACACAGCAGGCAGGAGCAGAGCAGCGAAGGTCGGTACCTACTGATGAAACGGGATCAGAGGTTCCAGGGGCACCACTGCCAACTCCTCAGAGGACACGCTGGGGCTCACCAAAGGACCAGCTTCTGGGGCCACCTCTCCTTGGGAACCCCCTGAAGCTCGCCTGAAGGGCTGAGGGCCTCTCCCTGCACCCTGAGGGCCAGTTGTCACTCTCACGTGGTGGTCAGGACACAGTACAAAGAAGGGCCCTTCAATGGGACAGAGGCAGTCATTCAGGGTGGCCTGCCCAGCCAGGTAGGACCCCTCCACCCACCCCTGCTGGGTTACACAGGGAAGTCCACCTGTGTGAGATCCCCGCTCTAGTTTCCACATCCACAGAAACGCAAAGGGGCCCAGCCTAGGTGGCTGGGAACTGGAGTGGGATCCTGGCTCTGCCCTCATGTGCTCTAGGCAGCTAGCTTGGCCTCAGACTCTGTCTCTGGGCCTCAGTTTCCCTATCTGTGCTTTGTGAGATCAGATGTGGGATCTCCAGGACCCTTCCTCTTGGACTGCCACCAGGGAGTCCAGTCACAGCTGGGTAGATCCCCACCTCCCACAAGTCTCCCCTTTCCTTTGAGTGGGTTCCACTCTTCTATCCCATTGCCAGGTTGGAGAGACAGCTGTCTGTTCCCTGTCAGCAGTGAGGCCAACACCACAGCCAAGTTGGGAATTCAGGGTAGGGGTTGGCACAAGACACAACACCTCTTCTGCTGCTTCCCAGATGCTTCTGTGTCTTTGGGGGCTGACCAGGGTCTCTCAGTGACTAGGGTACCTGACTGTCAGGGCACCCAAGCACTGTACCTAACCAAGGGTGCCATCACCAGGCACAGCCCTCACCTTCTTGGACGAGCAGGCTCTCGTGGGTCAACTTCAAGGCATTTTCATCCACGTGGACTCGGATGGCCGTCTCCTCCTCCTCACTGGGCGAGAGCAGCCAGAAGTTCTGGTCCATGAGCAGGTTTTCCAGGCAGTGGTGTGTGAAGCCTAGAAGGCCAGGCCCAGTCACCAGTGGGCTCCAGGGAAGCAGGGAAGCCTGTGTGGCCTTTGTGTTGGCCAAACCTGCACTGAGCAGGCCCAGGGAAACCCTCAACCTTGTCCTTAGGGAACTCAGGGGGCTGGGCAGGACCCAGTCATCTGCAGTCTGACTGTCTGGGCTCCAGAGGTCAAGCCTTGCCCCATCCCCTGCAGCTGTGACTATGACCAAGTTATGTGACATCTCTGTGCCTTCATATAGGTCCCTACAGAGACTGTGAGTCTGCAGTGCCCTGTGGGCCATCAAGGGATGGCTGAAAACATGCCTGTAAAAGCCCAGCCTGCATTATCAGCTCGTGTAAGCCATGTCCACTTCTGTGGAGCGAAGCTTCATCTCTGGGACACCACGAGCCTTTGTTAGCTGCGGCCTGACCAGCAAGCCGTCTGGCTACTCTCTGTTTTTAAGGCAGAGGCAGACCAAGAGAGAACCCTTCCTTTACTCGGTGTGAAGTGGACACTTAGGGTGGGCCAGGAAAGGCTACTGTCTTCTGGATGCTGTGACCTAAGCCTGGAGCAGAGGGCCAGAGGAGCAGGGAGCCAGGGACAATGAAACCTCTTCAGGACACTACATGTGCAGGGGTAAGGAAGCCCTGCCCAGAAACTGCTACTACAGTTCTACCCCAGCTTCCTCAGTCCTCAAATGGAGGAGATTCTCAGCAGACGTGGTCAGGCCCTATGAATATCTCTGAACAGGACACAAAGTTTTAGAAAGAAGGCACAAGGATGGATCAAGTTTCTAATAGCAGGCCAAGCGGGTGGCTAATGCCTCTGATCCTAGCACTCTGGGAGGCGAAGGAGGGAGGATCACTTGAGCTCAGGAATTTGCGACCAGCCTGAGCAAGAGTGAGACCCCATCTCTACTAAAAATAGAAAAAACTAGCTGGCATTGTGGCAGGCACAAGTAGCTGTAGTCCCAGCTACTCGAGAGGCTGAGCCAGGAGGATTAATTGGGTGCAGAAGTTTGGGGTTGCCATGAGCTAGACCATGAGAGCTAGCCTTCCTCAAGTTCTAGTGAAGTGAAATCACACAGGACAGTGGGTGTAGGAAACTGGAAATTCAGTTGAAATCATTCTCACAACTAAGACCTGCATCCAACCATGGCTCCAGCTAGCCCAGCGCTCCTCCCAGACAGAAGGTGAATGCACCGACTCGCATGTTTGCAGGAGAGGCCCTTGTTAGCTAACCTATTCTAAAGCACTGATTTGACACATAAAGCGTGTGGTATGCAACCAGTGTCCTCCTAGGGGAGTTCCGTATTCAATCATGGGAAGGTCACCTCTTTACCAAGAGCATGGTAGGTGGAGAACTTCCAGATTTCTTCAAAAGTCTTAAACATTACCACAATCCGATCCTGGTCGCTGTGGATAGACAACAGCCGCGCTGACAATTCCTTAAGAGAAAGAAAGAGGAGTTAGAGACCTTCCCAGGGGCTTCAGGGAAGCCACTGACAGTCAGTGCATCGGAGCTACACAAAAGAAAGTTGGCAAAAGTGGCCCTGGCAGGGGACAGCATGCACAGAGTGGATCCCTTTACAACTCATATCAGCTCCTCCCCTGATCTTAAGCCTGCTGTGGCTCCCCAGGGCCTGTGGGACAAAACCTGCCATGCGCTCCACACCCTGGCCCCACACCCTCTATGCCCCCCAAACAACCCTGCCTGTCTTAGTCCACATACACACACACATATGCACACACATACGCATGCACATACACATACACACGCACACACATACCCACGCACAGACACATACACACACACACACACAGCCTCAGCTTCTCCTGTCACATTCCGTCTGCTCAGGCTTTGCTTTCAGTCCTGGTGACCTGACCTCGCCTCCCTGCCCCATAGTCCCCTATAGTACCCCTCTTTCCCAAGCTCCATTGACTGGCAGTGACGGGGCATTCAAAGCAGCACCAGTTAACATGGGAGTACAAATAGTGACATGTGTGGTTGGGGCTATAGATGAAAAACCAGACCTGATCCTTAGCCAAGATAAGTGGCTTAGTCTGGATTCACACCCAGAGCCAGCCCCCTACCACTCCACCCTGCGGGCATCACCCACAGCAGCCCATGTGGGCCCTGGCAGGCACCATGTGGGTGCTTGGTGCTTGTTATTCACACAGTCCTCATGGCAGGTCCCAGGCGTGTAGCTCCAGGCTTCCCCTCTGTGCCGCTGAAGAAGCTAGGTGCACAGAGAGGCAGGGCCAGGCCAGGCTGACCCCACGTGCCCCCTCCGCCCCAGTGCCCTCCATGCCATCCTCCCCAGAACATTGCTTTGTGCAGAGGACAACGGGGGATGGCTCTGTCACAACTGCAAAAATAATGTTCACTTCCCACCAGACCTTCTGAGTCTCTGTCAAAGAAGCTTTGAAAATCCTCAGAGGTGGAGGGGGCAGGGAGAAAGGGAAAATGCATTATCCACCTGTGCTGGGGTGGGGAACAGCCACAGACCCCAAGAGGCAAGCTTGTGGGGTGGCCTCCTTCTTTCCTCCATTCCGACGACCCCATCTTGGCCCCCAAGGACCCATGTCATAGCTCTCCCTTCCAAGGCTATTGTACTCCTCAACTGGCCCTGTTCATGGCACTTGCCTCTTCTCCGGTTCTCAGGAACCAACTTCCTCACCCCGGCTCTTTGCAATGCCACTGCAACTTCACAGGGCCAGACTCACCCCCAGCGCACGCGCCACCTCCCTACTGTCGCCCTCCAGCAGTCGGAGCCGGCCCCGCAGGATCTGCTGCATGTCAGGGTCTGGCAGCCCACTCTTCTTCCGCACAGCCAGCAGCTGCAAGGTCAAGTCTGGAAGGGGAAGATGGAGGGGTGTGGTTAGCCTGGTCTCAGATTCTGTGGGGCACCAGACCTGCCCTCCAGTCTCCAATTCCCAAACCTACCGCCAGAGGTCTGGGCTGTGGGCTTATGCGGAGCCCTAGAGATGGGGCTTTAAATCTCATCCATGTGGCTTTAAATCTCATCCACGCACACTACTCATGATGACCTGGACCCACCACTTAGCTCCGAAGCCTCAGTTTCCCCAGCTGTGAGTATGTGTGCTACAGAAAGATGGCCAGAAGGAACTCATGTCTCCCCAGGGCAGGCTGGCATAGAGTGGCCATTCTGCATTATGGTCCCCCGCTCCAGATGGTCACTGCATCAAAACTTCGGGTGCAGAGACTGGGCACCTGCATTTAACAAGCACCTCCCTCACCCCATGGTAATTTTAAGGAGGGACAGCTGGGGCCATGGGGGCATCCCAGAAATCTCCGTTCTGCCTTCTTAACCAGCCCTTCCTCTCTTCCCCATCTCTCAAAATGCCCCCCTCCTGTTCAGATCACTGCCCCGCCCCCAATCACATAGTGCATCTGCCTACCTGTGAATCCCACCAGCTCTGCTCTCAACCTAGTCCCTACCCCCTTCATGGCCAGGCCCAGCAGATCTGACCTGGGCAGCTGTCTGAACCTGAGCTTCCTGTGGTCAGACCTCTGGTCTACACAGAGCATGAGGTCCCATCCCAGTCTGCAGCACTAGCAGGTCTTGGCCCTCCCAGGAGGCACTGTCCAGCAGAACTGTCTGCAGGGATGGACACAAGCTCTGTCTGCACCATCCTGTGCAGTGGCCACCTCCCTTGTCACCAGTCTGAGGCTGGTGATCTCCTGCCAGAATCCAGGCTCCAAGACTGTGACCCCACCTGTCCTGAGCACTATCTAGTCCCAGGGCCTGGAAATGTGGGAAAATGAGCTTTCCTGTTCCTCGAGGTCAGGACTCAGCCACAGACCTCTGGCAGAGGCACTACCTGGGCTGCCAGCTCTCTACAGGAGAGAACAAGAGAGAGAACGGGGAGAAGGGGCAGTGAGGCAGGCAGAGAGGGAAGGAGAGACAGAAAGAGTCTCTTTATCCCATGCCCTTGGATAAGTGGGAGCACCTGCTTCAGGCTTCTCTGGCTCTGGGCCTAGGGGCTCTGAAGTAAATGCCCCACCCCTATGGGGCAAGGCCAGTGGTCAAGCAGCACAGACACTTCTAGAATCTAGACTCCACTCCCCCAGGAGGAAACAGCAGCCCAACATCTCACAACCAGCTCTGAGCTGGGACAACTCTGTTCCTACTCTAGCAGGAGGGTGGGTGTTGTACTTTCACACAAAATCATCTGTCCCATTGCCTGACATGGGATCCTACACACCCGGAGTGACCACACGCAGCACTGATCACATGAAAAGAAAGTTGGAGGATGGGCGGGGAGGGGGGGGGGTCTGAGCAAAGGTCAAAGGTCAGCATGGGACATCAGGGTCTCCATGCCCCCACAGGGTAAGCGGCATCTCCACCTGCTGAGCCCGAGCTTCCTGGGCCCCGCTTGCATGCACTGATTCCATCATCCCACTCATCCTTGGAGACAGCCCCCCAAAGCCTGTGCCTGGAGGCCCTCCCTGTACTCCATAGCAGGGGGAGCATTCTCATCTACCTCCTCTCGTGTCCCCATTGAGTGTCGCCCACGGGGCTTCTAGGGGTGTTTCCCCCATTTGGGCAGATGTAGAGTCCCAGGGACCCCAGATGAAAATTTAGAGTCCTGCCTCAGTCCCACTGAATCAGAACCTCTGAGCACAGGGTCTGGGCATCTGTACTTATCAAGCCTCCACTCCCACCCCACGATTTTAAGGTGGGAAGTCTGGGGCCACTTTGAAAAGCCCTGAGTCAGACACTCCTGGGTGCCCAGGTCTGAACCTGAGCACATTGTGGGCCAAGGATGTTTACCTGTGGGATATGCTCCTGTCTGGCCAGGTGGGCTCCCAGCAGCAGGCCCAGCGACACCCAGGGGAGGAACTCCTTCTGCAACCCAGCAGGCTCCTGAAAATAAGGGAGAACAAGCCGTGCTGAGCTCCCCTGCAGGTGCCAAACACCCTGGGTCTTCAAGAAAAGGGGTGTGTGTTCCACACAAGCCGCCTCTGCCATTAGCTCCATCCTCCAGGCTCACATAGCCCGGCGCCCCTGGGAGCTTCACATCCCTGTGGGACACAGCAGCCTGCCCCAGACTCAGTAGCTTAAGCAACACGAAGGACCATCTTGCAGCTGTGGCATCCAGAGGGGTCTCACAGAGTAAGGTGAAGGTGTCCCAGGCTGGTTCCTTCTGGAGGCTTCAAGAGGCGCAAGTGATCCTTGTTCTGCAGTCCCAGCTTCCAGCTTCACAACCGATTCTGATCCCCCCCCCCCGCTTTTGCCATGGCATCTCCTCTGGCTGTCCCCCTGCCTCCCTGTCACTAAGGCCCTGCAATCCAGACCACCCAGGGTCATCTCCCCATGGCAAGATTCTTAATCCCATCTGCAGAATCTGTCTTGCCAGATGAGGAGCAGATGCACTGGGTCCGGGGCTAAGGACACGGACATGTTGGGAGGCTGCTATTTTGCCAACCACAGATGGGCTCAGCCTCACCACTCATGCGTACGGGAGGTGGCATGTCAGCCCACACTGGTTGCTCAGTTCTCCACTAATCAGCACCTCCTTTGGCCCCAGCTCCCAGCCCCTCAGGGTCTGCATCTTGGCCTGGGCACAGCAGAGGGTGTAGAACTTCACCGCAGCCAGGTATCTTGCTCAGTGCTCTGAGCACAGCTCAGCTGTGTGGCCTTGGGCCTTGCATCACAATGGTGGTCATTTCTCATCAGCGTGTGCTGACTGTTGGCATATGCCTCGGCCTGTGCAGTCTGGTTGCCCATGTGTCAGGGCCTATTCAGGAACTCACTTCTTCTGCATCCCTTATCCAAGCCCAGCAGCCAGAAACATCTGCCAGATCCAAAGAAGTGCGCAGTGTTCAGATCTTGGCTTCTAAACCCCACCCTTTTTTTCTTCTTTTTTTTGAGACAGAGCCTCAAGCTATCCCCCTGGGTAGAGTGCCATGGCATCACAGCTCAGAGCAACCTCCAACTCCTGGGCTCAAGCAAGTCTCTTGCCTCATCCTCCCAAGTAGCTGGGACCACAGGCGCCCGCCACAACGCCCGGCTATTTTTTGGTTGCAGCTGTCATTGTTGTTTTTGGCAGGCCCGAGCTGGATTCGAACCCACCACCTTAGGTCTATGTGGCTGGTGCCTTAGCCACTTGAGCCACAGGCGCTGAGCCAACCCCACCCTTCAATTTAGGAACCAGGGCTGCTTGGAGAAACAACCGATCCCAAGGCTGGAATGGAGAATGAGCCTGGAGCATCTTGGGTCCCAGGAAGTAAGGATGTTCACAGAGGGATGGAGACAACTCAAAAGCCCAAATCTGGGGCAATTCAAGCAATGAAATAAAGAATGATCTTTAGAGTCCAGAGACTAAATTAAAGGTGTATGAGCCTGTGGATTCTTAACCCAAATCCTTGGAGTCATCATGAAAAAATATTACTTGTATCATGAAGAACTATATTCTTCAAAATAACCACTTCTGGATTAAAAGGCACCACAGAGAGGTGGCGGCAGAACATAAGGCGTGACCAAGACTTTTTTGTCATAAAGGACAGCATTGGGACAGTCAGATGTGAATGAGGTCTGCAGTTAGGTAACAGTATTATTAAAACCAGGAAATTAACATTGAAATAATTGCACTGTGGTTACATAAGGGGACGTCCTGGTTTTAAGAAATATGGGCACCTTAGGGAGGAAAGTTCATCGAATCTGTGATTTCCTCCCAAACTGTCAGAGAAAAATAAACTAGGGAGTGGGGAGCCAAAGCAGCAGAATATGAACATTCTCAGAAGCTGGAATCTGGGTGGGGGTGAATGGGAATTATTTGTACTATTTCTTGCAACTGTCACTGTCAGCCTGAAATTGCCTGGAGAAGCCCAGGGGCTGAAGGGGCCCATGCAGAAATGGTGCCCAGGGAGCCTCCTACGAAAGGAGAAGTTCATGGCCCTGTCGTCTGGGCCCACAGATTCATTCTGACGGGATGCCAGTGTGCTCTGCGGAGCCTCTAAGGAGGAACACCCAGCAACGGAGCCAAAAGCTTCCAGTTCCTGCCACTGCAGGGGCATCCCCAGTCCTCTTCCCTGAAGCTCACAGATTCCCCTTGGCTGGGCTCTGCTGGGGTAGTGGTAGGGAGTCATCTAGCCTCCTCTATCCCAACTTCCTGCCCAGGTGTGCTCTGGAGGGAGCCAGATTCTGTGGCCTCAGTTGGTCCCCCTGAACCAGGCCGTACCCTAAACCTCTAAGCTCTCCCTTCCTAGTGGGAGGTGCCTGCAGGACCACTTCCCCTGTGAATCAGCACCTGGGGGAGCACCCTGCCCCTTCCAGGCTGTCCACACACAGAAGGACAAGAGGTACAAGTATTCCACATGCCAGCCATCTGTCACGTCAGGCCCTGTGCCAGGCAACTGTGTGGGACTTTCTGACTCCCTTCTCCCAACATGTCATTCATGCATCCATCACTCACATAGCCACGGGGAATCTGCTATGTGCCAAGCTCTGGAGACCCAAGACAGGGGGCAGCAAGCAGGTGACCAGGCCAATGTCAGACATGGTGAGGAGGAAGCCAGAAGCTTGGAAAGGACAGGGTCACAGTGTCTCTGGCAGGGCAGTAGAGGGCTGGACCTTGGTCTTCCCCTTTCCTCCCCTCCTCTCTCCCGGGGCCCCAAAGTGGTGAGGAGAGGGATCTTAGAGGCCATCTAGGCCAGGGTTTCCAAGTAGGGAAACTAGAGCCTAAGTTAATCAGTGGCCCCATAATAGTCAGGGTTAGAACCAAGTCTCCTGTGGGCCAGCTCATCTTTGCCCACTGGGACTGGTCGTGTGGAAGATGTACCTGCCCAGGGCCTCAGGAGACTGGACGCTTGTCCCTGCTCAGCTACTAGCCACTGTGTTGCTTAGCCCAGCCTTCCCCTCTCTGGGCCTTGGTTTGCCTCCTGGGGACTGAGGGACAGCCATCCCATGTAATCCCAGGTTCTGTGAGGACAAAACAGGACTGGAATGCAAAGGCCAAGCCCAAGGGAAGCATTTCTAGAGCATTCTTGGTGTGCACAGGTGGCTTTCAGGCCTGTTCTCTGCTCTATGTGCCAGTTTTGCTGTCACTGACGCTCTCCTGGAAAAACATGAGCTGAGATCTTGTCTGGCAAATGACTCACGGGGTTCAGTCGTTCTCTGAACGGTGGCTGAGGGAGGAAAGGAGAAGTGCCACAGAGCAGACCCCAGCTCCCGGCCACAGGCAGGTGGGAGGGTCTCAGGGCAGATTGGGGGCAGACGGGGTGGGGGCCAGATGCACTCACCGCCTCTGACAGTAGCCGTGGCCTCCTCAGGCCCCGCTCGCCCCGAGCCAGTGGGTGAGCTCGTGGCCAAAGTCTGGCCCTCATCCCTGCTGCCGCTGCCTCCCGAGGACCCTGCAAGCTCCCTGCCCATTGGGGTCGGCTCCTCAGTGGTCACCTCAGCCGTGTCCTCCATGTCCTGCAGTGGCCTCAGCACTGAGGGCCCAGCATGCCTGGTTGGGCTCTGTGGAGACAGGAGAGGGTAGAGGTCAGCAGGGATGGTCTCTCTAGGAGACGGACTGCAAGTAGCAGCAGGGATGCTATGGCCAGCATTGGGGGTCAAGAGGAGAGTATGCCAACATTGCAGAGTGCCTGATGCCTTTGAAACCCAGCAGTGGCCCTCAGGCATGGCAGGTGACCACGGCATGATAGCACAGTGTGGGGGGGGGGGTCTGGCCCACCCACCTCTGCATCCTCTCATTCTCTCAAGTGCTTTTTTATACCATGGGGCCTTTGCACAGGCTCTTCCTGCTGCCTGGACAGCCCCTCCTCTCCTTCAAGGAGGAGCCACTGGCCTCTCCTCCAGAGCTGGCCACCATGGCACCCTTTCCTGGGGCCGTCAAACCCTAACAGACCCTGCTCCTGGGATTAGTGCTTTGCTGCCCAACAGATGACACAGGACGCAGAAATCCCCTTTCAGACATTGAACACTGATCCAGGTGGAGGGCCAATGAGGCCAACAGCCTGGGCCAGACCCCTAGCTGGGGCCACCCCACAGGATCAGCCATGACCCCCTTAGCTTCTGCCTCAGGGACAGAGGGGATAATGAGAGCCTTGCCTATTTGGGAAGCAGGTTGGTAAGATTGTAGGCAGGGACACCCCAGCAGGGAGGCCATGCTCATTTCAGGCCTGACAGTTTGCTGATCATGTGCTGAAAAGGTTCCACCCTGCCCGTGCAGGAGCTGGCAGGAGTTCCCTCTACAGAGTGCACAGAGAAATGAGGCAGTGGATAAAAATACAAGTCTGAGGCTGGACGCCGTGGCTCACACCTATAACCCTAGCACGTTGGGAGGCCAAGATGGGTGGATTGTGTGAGCTCAGGAGCTCGGGACCAGTGTGAGCAAAACCAAGACCTCATCTCTAAAAATAGCTGGGTGGTGTGGCAGATGCTTGTAGTCCCAGCAACTTGGGAGGCTGAGGCAAGAGGATCCCTTCAGCCCGGGAGCTTGAGGTTGCTGTAAGCTATGATACCACAGCACTCTACTGAGGGCAACATAGTGAGACTCTGTCTCAAAAAAAAAAAAAAATACTAGTCTGTCCTCCTGCCGCTCTTGGTGGACCCTGGGGAGAAGGCCACCCAATGGCAGGCCCAGAGATAGCTGGTCTAGCAGTGCCAGCCTCACAGCCCAAATGTGCCCACCAAGCCAAGGGCCAGCTAGCTGCAGGCTGCCACAGTGACCTGACAACCCCCGGCCTTGGCCTGTTTCCTACCTGTGTCCTGGTATCTGGGCAGGGAACAGGAGCCAAACTGGGTCAGAGTTGGGGTCACAGGCCATAGGCTATGCCACATGCCCCTTCCTAAAGCTGTGAAGGGGCCTAAGCAAGCCCCTCCACCCCCCACCTGATCCAACTATAACCTGACTGGTCAGGTTTGGCCAAATACTTCCTGTCCTCCAGCCACCTGTGAGGGGAGGGACAGGGCCTGGGAGGGCAGCAGACCAGAGGGTTCTCAGAGCCCAAGGGGCACCCAGGGGACCCTGGCACTCTTCTGGCAGCACTTCCCCCTCCAGGGAAGCCACTCAGCCTCAGAGAAGAGGGTACAGGCCTGACCACACTCCCTTTTCCTGAGTCAGAGCACACACAGAATGGTAGGTACTGGAACATAGTGTTGCTGGGACCCTGTGGTTCTGCACCCGGTATTATGTGTGCCCACTGCTGGGCCCTGGCCCACAGGCCAGGCTGTCTGCCGGCTCTCCCTGCAAAGCCCCTGGGATATCTCAGTAGAGCACTGGAATCTACCCCCTTGATGGGCAAGGCTCCTGGTTTATGGCATCTTAGACCCCGACTCCTGACCCCAGGCCCCCTCTCTGCCACTTTGTTCTTCAAGGGCTAGGTCTGATACGTCCACCTACCAGAGCAGGCACCCCAATAGTGGGCATCTTTCCATCTCCCCACCAGCAGGTGTCCCTGGTACCTGCCCCCCCCTCAACTCCCTACACCTCCTCCAGGTCAGAAACAGGCACGAAACAGGCACGCAACAGGCAGCATCCGGGGTGGGCACAGAGCTGGAGTTCAGGGCTGTTTCCTAAGAAAAGGGAAGGCTCCCAGGCTCGGGGAGTTTCCCACCTGCTGGGCAAGAGCCCAATGAGGAAGTGAGCTGGGTCTCCCAGAGCTCCCCCTGCCACTTCAGCAGACGTCCTCTCTGGTCCTTGCAGCCTCCCAGATCACTCCATGGGAGGCTGCCCAGTTAGGGGGACCACCAGCAACCTGTGGGGACCTTTCTCCATCAGCCTTATCTTCTTGCTCCGTTTCTCATTGGATGGGCCCTTGGGTGACCTCCTGGGTAGGCCAGCCACAGGCTCTAGCCCACTCCAACCCTAGCCCTTGAGAAGGGAGTTGGGCACCAGAACATCCAGAGGAGGCTGGCCAGATGAAGCGGATGGGGTACCTGGTGTTTAATATGGGCTGGAGGAAGGGAAATGGCTCCGACCCACCCCAAGGAGGTTTGGAGAGGTCTGGCCAGAGCTTCATCAGGCTTGATGAAGACCAGAGACCGTGGAGACCTTGCCCATGTCACCGAAAGCGCCTTGGGAGAGATGTCACTCATATCCTGGAGTGAGAACTGCCCACTCCCCAAAGTCATGCCCACTCAGAATCTCAGATGGGAACATCTTTGGAAATAGGGTCTCTGCTGATGAAGTTGCCTTCAGTGAAGAGGAGGTCCCACTGGACTAAAGCAGACCCTGAGTCCAGTGTCTGGTATCCTTGTAAGAGACAGGGGACACAGGCACACAGAAGAGATAGCAAGGGGTGGCCACGTGACCACGGGGGCAGAAAATGGGGCACCACCACCACAGGCAAAGGATACCTGGGACACCAAGACCTACCTGGGGACAAGGAGGAGCCTCTCCAAAGAGGGCCTGAGCATGGCCACCACACCATGGCCCTGGACTTCTGCCTCCAAGACTGTGAGAGAATGAATTTCTGCTGGTAAGCCCCCTGACCAGGGATACTTTTTTCTGGCAGCCTGGGAAATTACTACACCTGTGACCTCCTGTGCCTTGATTTCCTCTTCTGTGTAGTGGGGTCAATATTATCCATGTCTCTGAATTTTTGTGAGGATTAAATGTTGTCAGATGCACAAAAAGCTGACCCAATGCATGGCATAGGAAGCCTTGTGGCCATTGACAATAGTGTTGACAGACACGTGATATCAGGCCCCTCTGAGGTGCTCACTAAGCAGCCTCGGCAAACCTAGAGATGGCAGGTGCCATTGCACCCATTTCATAGAGGTGCATGCACAGGGTCACCCAGTCAAGAGCACAGGGGAGTATGAACCCAGATGCCTGCATCCAGCCCTCTTGCACCTGTCCTTGATCTGCACATGCCCAGCTCAACCCAGCCCCTGCTACAGCCATAAGTTCGGCTGCAGCTCCTGGGCCCTGGGGGCTGGGAGTTCACACCCCAAGCAGCAGCTGGCTCCTGGTTCCAGTGCCTGCCTGCACAACCACATCCCTCTGCCATTTCTCTCATCTGAGCCTCACTGGCAGCAACGGTTGGAAACTGCCCCTCATAGACGACAATGCACACCCCAGTCCTAGAGAGGGTCTCGTGGTGTGCCCAGACACATCTAGAGTTGGAAGGCTGGGCCCAGATCCTCCCTTGGGACTTTCTGGTTGGTGTCCCTTGTCAAATGGCTTGTCCCTTTGGTGGATGGAAAGGGAACCAAGGTGGCAATTCCTGCAATACCAGGGGAGGCTCAGAGGGGCCATACCAGAGCCATACCACACCTCTGCTGAGGTGTCCCGAGCTAACCCAGGGCTAGGGTCACACCCGAGATTGACGCTGGAATGCCTAACTGCTGGGATCCCTGGGTCTCATCCAGACTCCAGGACACTCTCACTAAGGGTCAGCCTGAGGGGGAGTGAGGTCCCAGAGCAATGGTGCTTTGTCAATCCTGAAAGCCCTGTCTGTGATCTCTGCATGTGTGCCCCGCAGCACCCAGGAGTTCTGAACAGGATCTGCTGAGAGTGCAAGTACCCTCTTACGGCCTCAGACTATAGGTTTGCTCTGCTCTGATACCAAGCAAGTCAGAAAAGTCCTCCGGAAAGTGGAAGGTGGGTCACAGTTCTTATGGCTTGGGGCAAGACAGCTCTGCAGACAGCAACCAGCTTGGCTGACCAACACCCTGCCTGCTCCAAATCCCCTGAACCTGCCCCAGACCTGCCCTGGAGTTCTCCATGCCTAACCTGGGCAGCCCCGTACCTGTTTCACTCCTCGGAGGCAGTTCTCAGGCCCTGACTGCTGTAGGACGCAGGCCCCAGGTGGCTGCTCCCGGCTCAGCTCTGACTGGCCCCGCCACTGGGCTGTCTCCAGCTGGCCAGAGCAGGCAGGGGCCGCCCACAGCTGGGCTGACTGCACTGCGGCTGCCACCGCCCCCTGCTTCCTGCCCCACTTCCTCCCTGTGCTTGGGGGTAGATGACAGAGGAAGGCCCAGTGTGGCTGCACAGGGCCCAGGGTGGTTGATAATTAGCTCCTTCCTGGACTGGCTCCAGGCTCTGCCCTGCCTGCCCGCTGCCTTGCCAACGTCAGCTCTGCCGCTCGCTCCTGTTCCACCTACTGCACACATGGGCATTCACAAAAATGCACACACACACTCATGTGCACACACAGATATACACTCACACACAGACACAAACGTGTACACACTCGCACACAGACACAAACGTGTACACACATTCACATGCACATAGACACACATAAGCACACAGACATGCGTGCACACACAAACACATGCATGTAAAGGTGCACAAACGCATGTGTGTGGGCACGCACTGACACACAGGTGCCTGTGTGCATACAGGACAGATACACACATGCACAAACACGTTCACACAGCCCCTGCACTCTGCCTGGGTGCTGTCTACACGTTGGTCCCATCAGTGGAAACACTTTGGGAGGGGTCCTCCTCCCTCTGCGTAGTGCTCCCTCCTCAGAAGCCCACCTCTGCCTGGGTTCTACCTTGTCACCTTCCCATTGGCTCCTGGGCGGACCCAGGATTGGGAAAAGGAGCCTTCCTAGCTAGGCTGAGGCCAAGCCAAGGCAGGGATGCTGACCAGCAAGGCAGGACTGGTCTCTTGTTGGCTCTGAAAAGAAGCAAGAACTGAACTGGGGATGCCCTGTTGGCCCCCACCTGTTGGCCTGCTCCACACTCTTGTCAACCCCAGGGCATGGGCATCCAGGGGCATCCAGGGGCACCCAGGGCTGCTGGCACAAAAGGAAGGTTCCCTCTACTGTGCCCTATGATGGGCAGGATATGCACACAGGGTGTGGTTTAATAATACCAGGGTAATCCCTGTGTTAAATAGTAATGCACCCATTTCATAGACAGGGAAACTAAGGCATTAGAGGAATGCGATATGCCTAGGGCCATTGACCAGCTAAAAGATGAGATGGGAACCAGGTCTGCCTGGAGTTTTAGGCCTAGGTTTTTCCACTGACATTTCTGACATTTGGGGCCAAATCCCGCCCCCCACCTTTTTTTTTGAGACAGTCTCACTCTGTCAACCAGGCTAGCTCACAGCAACTTCAGACTCCTAGGTTCAAACAACGCTCCTGCCTCAGCCACCTGAGTAGCTGGGACTACAGGCACCCACCACAATGCCCAGGTAGTTTTTCTACTTTTAGTAGAGACAGGGTCTCACTCTTGCTCAACATGGTTTCAAACTCCTGAGCTCAAGTGATCCTCCTTCCTTGGCCTCCCTCAGTGCTAGGATTACAGTCATGAGCCACTGAGCCCCTGCTTCTGGCCACCAAGTCACTCTTTGTTGTTGGTGGGGCAGGGGCTTATCCCATGCACTGGAGGGCAGTTAGCAGTATCCCCAGCCTCCACCCACCAGATGCCAGCAGTCTCCTCCCTAGTCATATCTCAGAATTCACCCCCAGGGCTCTGGGCAGCACCACTCCCAGTCCAAGCAGGTGACTCCACCCTCTGTCCCCTGTCATCCGTTCTCTAATCACAGGCTTCACCTGAAGCCTTCTCTTTCTCAACTCCAGCTTCTACACAGCATCCCTAAGTGACAACACCCCTCCCCCCATGAGGCCGGGGCACACCCCACCCCACCCCAAAAGGCTCACCTAGGCAGAGCTAGGCTCAGCCTCTGGTTCCCCAGTCCCCCACATCACTCACATTCTTGGTGACCACAGTGGGGGAGTCAAAGGCACCTGGTAGCCAAGTCCATAGTCTACAGTGACAGCAATCTGAGTGTTTGACACTCCCCTCCCAACCCCTGACTAGGCTGCCCCTCTGTATAGTGGAAATGGTGGTCTCTCTAGTCTCCCCAGCTGCAGCTATGACGCAATTACTACATCAGTGGCCTGGGGCTGCCATAACAAAGGGCCGCAGACCAGTGGACTTGAGATAGCAGAAATTCCTTCTCTCACAGTCTGGAGGCTAAAAGTCCAAACTCAGGGTGTGGGCAGGGCACACACCTCTGGAAGCTCCAGGAGAGGCTCCCACCCACTCCTCCGGCATCTGGTAGTTCCAGGCATTTGGAGTCTCTGCCTTGTCTCCATCTATCCTCCTCTGTGTATGTCTCCTTTTCCGTCTCTTATAAGGACACTGTCACTGGACTTGGGACTCACCTGGGCCACATAGGATGACCTCATCTCGAGACCCTTGACTTAATCTCATCTGCAAAGACCCTTATTCCAGATAAAGTCACATTGGAAGGTTGGGGGTGGGTGTGACTCTCAGGGTCAGTTCAGTACTTGTGCCTGTGAAGCAGGCTGGGGACAAGGTCACAGCCCTCTGGGCCTCAGCAGCCTTTGGTCTCTCAGCCCCCTCTCAGGGATGGACTAAACAAGGCCACACCGTGAAGCCCCTCCCGACTCCAGCCCTGGGCACTGCCCTCGCTCTTCCTGCTAGCTGCATCTCGCCCCCCTTCCCTCCTTGGTCCCAAGGAGTTCCTCTGCATCCTACTCAGCCCAGCTGGCTGGGGCCTCTGACTAGCTCCCTCTGCCTCCCACATTCAGTCCTTGGAGCTGGTGATGCCCCACGCTCCATGGCATCTCATCGCTATAGCCCACAGAGCCTTGGGAGCTGGATTCCCCCAGCACCTTCTCTGTAGCATGGGGTCACCCCGGGCACTAGTCTCTTTTCTGCTAGGCCACTTTCTGGGCAAGCTGCCACCCCCAAGTAGAGGCAGATGCCCCAAGCACCCCCTTGCACAGGCACCTGAGATCTTTGGAAGACAGATGCCCTCCCTGCTCCCCACAGAGACTTTCTCTCCCCACCCACCTCTCCACAGCCTCTGGGTGAGTCTCTTCCACCAAAGGCGACTTTCCTGTCCTGGGTCCAATTCTTCACCAGCCCAGCCTGCCACACACAGGACCCGGGCAGGCTACGGGCACCACACCCGTCCACACACCTCTTGGAGGGAATGTTCCTTTCCTCTGAAAAGCCCCAGCGGGTGGGTGAGGGTCACCATGGTCTTGCTCTAGGTCATCATGAAGATTAAACTAAATTTGAGAACTTTTCTAACAGCCCACGCACAGTGCTTGGCACAGTCATGCTGACGAGTCTGTGTACTTAACAAATGCTAGCATGGGCCCCTGTGTGGCCTCAGCCCTGTCAGGAACACTGGGTAGGGACAGTGCTGGATGGGCTTGTGGGGAAGCACCACCATCCCCAGGAGGTCATCACCTTTTAACTTGTCCCCTGCCCCCAGGGGAATGGGGATGGCCTGTCCCACCACTTACATGATGGCCCCAAGGAGCTGTGGAGAGAAGTGGGCAGTAGGCACCCAAGACCTCCCCCCCAAACTCATAGCCCACCAGCCTCAGTTTCCCTCCTACAGTGTAGGCCCTGAGGGGTGGGTGCCCCAGGCTCTCCATCCCACTCATACGTCCACCTCCTCTCCGGAGCTGCCCGGCCTCACTTCTGCTTGTTTTTCTGGAAGCTGTGTTGAGTGAGGCCCCAGACAGGCTCCACATCCATACACAGCTCTGGAGACATTTCCTCTCCTGGACATTGTCCCCTGCTGTGACTGGAGAACCCGTATCCTGTTTGTCTCCGCAGCTGTGCTTTTGGCCCAAGGCCAGGGGGATTTTCCAAGAGCCTTCTCAACTGTGCACAGAACCCCCTGACTCCACACAGCCCAACAGCCTTCCAGGGGAGACACCTGACTTCTCTGGGCCGGGGTCCCTGGGGAGGCTGCAGACTCCGAGGGGGTCCCTCTAGAGGCTGTGGACATGGAAGCAGAATCACACAGCTGTGCCTGCCTGAGGGCCGGTCTGAGGCTCAGGCTTGGACTCCCTCTGGAACAACCTTTCACTTTCCTGGGTCTCAGTTTCCCCCTCTTGCAAGAGGTAGGGTTGGGTCTGGAGATTGCTAAGTGCCAGGTGGTAGTTCTCATGCTTAACATGGTTGAGACATTCATATCATTACTTGCCAAGAAGATGCTAAGTCCAGCCCATGGATTATCACCTTTTGGGTCTCTCCAGTGCAGTCCTACCAGAGTGAGCACCCTCAGGATCCCCTAGACACATGTGCAAACAGGCTTAGAGGAGGCACAACCTTCCCAGAGTCATACAGCTCCAGCTCCCCAGTGCAGGATCTTCCCCAGGCAAAGCCTGAGTTCCTCACCCCTTCTCAATGCCCTTCGGGGCCCTCTAAGCTATGGGACAGCAACAAAGAAAATTACCAGGAACCCCAGGAAGCAAGTCCTGTCCAGACAAATAAACTGCCATGCCCTCAAGCACCAGGAGTCTGCTTCAGAGCTAATCTTTTGGATGGTGGTCTGTCCCTCTCCTGGTCTCTGGGACCAGCCAGTGTCTTGGTTTCTGTGTGTGTGTTTTGTTTTGTTTTGTTTTGAGACAGAGTCTGACTATGTCACCCTCGGTAGAATGCTATGGCTTCACAGCTTACGGCAACCTCAAACTCTTGGGCTTAAGCAAGCCATTCTCTTGCCTCAGCCTCCCAAGTAGCTGGGACTACAGGTGCCAGCCACAACACCCAGTTTTTTGTTGTTGTTGTTGTCATTGTTGTTTAGCAGGCCCACGCTGGGTTTGAACCCGCCAGCCCCAGTGTATGTGGCTGGCACCCTAACTACTGAGTTACAGGAGTCGAGCCCAGTGTCTTGTTGAATTATAAGGTACAATGACCCATTGGCAGGACCAGTGGTGTCCTTAGAGTTTCCTATCTTCTCATCTACCTCTGGCCTTCTCTAGGACAGGAAGCCACCAGACATGGACAGGAGAGCTGGGGGAAAACAAAATGGGCCAACCAGGAGAGGGGCTTTCCCTGAGGGACAGACAAGCACGTTTTCAGCAGGCGCCTCCT